GTCGAATATTACTATCCAGAATTGTTCTATACGTTGTACAAAACGCCATTATAAACTTTAATGTTTTTCCCCCTTCTAAACCAGAATTAAAATCTATCTCATCATAGACCCTGTTCGATGAATTTTCAAGACCCACTGCATTCAGATCTATATTTTAAATTACTGACAGTTTCAAAGCTAGCTAGTTACCTCATAAAGATGTATTCAATTGCCAAAAGTTTTATCGAAAGAAAAAATACTATTGTATCATGGTACAGATTACTGTGTTTATTTTAGAGCTTTAGATAAAACTTTCTATACAGCTTTTCTGTATCAGTTCATTTATCGCGAATTGTTGCTCGGCAAGAGAGAAAAGATAAGTCCAACTCGATTCAAGTGTGAAATTAACCTAATCAAAGTATATAGAATAATATAACAGTTAAGTGAAAGCTTAATCAATTTGATGTTTTCTCCTTTAGTTTTCAAACGTCGCCTGTGTTCAACACTGTAGCAATCAAGTAAAAGCCAGGACAATTTTATTTTCTGTTTTCCTTTTAAGTATCACGTGTCAACTGGATTTTAAAGAGAAATTAATGCTTCACTCAAGCACAATATATGGTTTCTCCTCGTCAAAACATCTGAAAATGTCAGTTGCCCATGTTATTCGGGATTCATATTTTGTCAAAGTTGTTTTCATGTCTCATTAACTCTGAAGTTAGTCCAGCATTAAAAAAAAGATTTAAACGAAAAACGATATCGGATATATATACGTCACTGGTCATTTCTGTTTATCTTAAATGATTTATAAATAAGGAGATGTGGTATGAATGCCAATGAAACAACGATTTAAACAGAGTTCAAATTACGTGGATATAAGCAATTATTTGTCACCGTACGGCCTTTAACAATGAGCAAAACGTTTACCTATATAGACGACTCTAAAAGGCCCCGACATAAAAAAAAATGTGAAACAACCATAGTCAAACGAAAAAACAAAACAAATGACCTTATTTATGTCAAAAAAAATGATAAACAGATATAACAGACAGCAATCAACCGACGACAACCTCATGCAGTCCATTTGTCTCTACTCTTTAATTGATTTTCTCATTATTCTATATTCTTTAAAGTTAAGCCCCCAATTATTTTTTGTTCTTGATGTTTTGGTCTATTTTTTCTCTATTCCTCATTTGTTTGGACCATTATTTGTTATTCTGTAAACCCAATACAGACCCTCTGTGTTCAAGTCAAGTGACCTGAGCAATTCTACATTTATCACTAGTCTGTCAAAGCTGAGGTTGAGATGGAAACCCCGGGGGAGGGGGAGGGGGGTACTGACTATCCTTTCGGGTATAACTGTGCCGACAGCACTTGCCAAATCATACCCTGTTCTAACCAGAAAACATTGAAAAACATACCCTGTTCTAAATAGAAATATTGAAAAACATACCCTGTTCTAGACACGCTCAGAAAATGTATACCCTGTTCTAGACACGCTCAGAAAATGATCCTGTTCTAGACCGTATAAATTAGATGCTGTTCTAGACCCGGGTCCTAGACTGTATCTTAAACAGTTAAATAAGCGGTCCTGTTCTATAGACAAATACTTTGTTTAAAAAGCGACCCTGTTCTAACCAGCAGGGCATGAAAAAGCGACCCTGTTTTGCGGCACACTCGTACCACTAAAAATATAGGAAGTAACCCCCCCCCCCCCCCCCCCCCCGGGCAGGTGGCAGGTGCGTTCGAGACCTATATATATCTTTATTGACTAGGATTGTCAGGTTACCTACCGATGGTCTGTGGTCCTCTCCGGGTACTACAGCTTCCTACACCACTAAAACTTGGTCACATCGATATAGCCAAGGGCGCTGAAAGTGGCTTTAAACGCCAACAACCAATCAATCATTACTGGAATTGTAGAATAAAACGAGGAGAACGGAAATAACTCATAACCATGCTATATAGATTAGACCGTTGGTTTTCCTGTTTGAATGGTTTTACACTAGTCATTTTTGGGACCCTTTATAGCTTTCTGTTCGGTGTGAGCCAAGGTTCCGTGTTGAAGGCCGTACTTTGAACTATAATGGTTTACTTTTTACAAATTGTGATTTGGATGGAGAGTTGTCTCATTGGCACTCATACTACATCTTCTTATATCTATATACATTAAGATAACACAACCATAAATCGTTGGGATTTGTTGTGTGTAAAAGCTGAAATACAAAACCATGCACGTGTCTTTATGATTCATGGTATATGCTTGTGAAAGCAGATCTATAAGATTATAAAAAAAAACGAACAGATTTTCGTTTGTTGATGGGACGCAGTTAATTATTTTAAATGTTATAAGTAGTCCGACCGGACTTCGAGGCCGAGGGATACTATGCTCAGCGGTTCTTTGATTATAGAAAGTCGATATGAAAAATAAAATAAGATGCGGGCAAATGTAAATGAGATGAGACGGTAACCCAAAGTCATCTAGAAGACAATAGACATGATTGTGTCTACACACTCTACAATAGACGTGATTGTGTCTACACACTCTACAATAGACATGATTATGTCTACACACTTTACAATAGACATGATTGTGTCTACACACTCTACAATAGACATGAATGTGTCTACACACTCTACAATAGACATGATTGTGTCTACACACTATACACTAGACATGATTGTGTCTACAAACTCTACAATAGACATGAATGTGTCTACACACTCTACAATAGACATGATTATTTCTAAACACTCTACAATAGACATGATTGTGCCTACACACTCTACAATAGACATGATTGTGTCTACACACTATGACAAAAGTTCTTAATCGTCCCGAGTCGGAACAAAATTAACAGGAACAATCAAAAATATGCCATAAAAGTGAACAAGGCTAACTTTATTCTGTACATGAAACTGATATGTTTTTGAATGCTCAATAGTCGTACCACGGAGCGAGGGGGTTGGACGGCCGGGGCTCACAGACATTCCGGCTACGGGCCTGACGCTTTGGCACAATATTACATGCCTCGTATTAGTGATATTTCGAATGAGAAAACATTCGGCAATCTTTTAACCGAACAACATTTAAGTTCGGAATTTCAAGCTGTAATTGTGTGTAGAATTTTTACTGCCATTTGAAAATCGCCAAACGTTTAGTTTTGTTCCTGCACATAAATATTGAAAAAAAGAATAAAACATGCATTAAATACACATTTCTACAATTTACATTAATTTGAATCCTCTAAATGACAATTTGTCATGCTTTGTTCATAGGTATTGAGGAACAGGACAATTTGATTTTGCCCTCCCCCTTTTTCGAAAATCCGTTATTTTTTTTTTCTTCTTTAAATTTCAATTATTTTCGTGGTTTGTGTTAATTTCAATCCGGGACGCTATGAATAGATAACAATAGCGATTGATAATAAATTGCAAACAAATGATGTTTCATGCATATTTATATGAGTATACATTTTTGTAAAACAGAAAGACACACAAGTAATTAAAATGATACAAAAAAAAGGGGGAGGTTAAAAAAATTTGTCCTGTCCCCAAGTACATTTGACACAATAATAGATACAGCTGCGCTTTCGAAATGCTAGGCGGTGTTGTAGAATAAAAGGACAAAGTACAGCTCTAGCCCCGGTTTGGGAAGAAGCATAGCATCAGTTTAAAAATAAGATGTGGTATGACTGACAATGCAAGACAACTATTCACAAGAGACAAATGACGTACCTAGATTTTAGCTACCACTTACATTGTGAGGTTGAACTACTAGGGTCATTCTTATACATACAGAGAGAGATAAAGGATACTCCCAAAAAAAATGGAAAATTAATTTGTGATATCATATTGTTTGAATGGAATATTGTAAAACAGAAACCTTGCAGTTGAACATTTTTCTCTTTCTTTTACCGTTTTCAAATTAAACATTTAGACTTTTTTCACTTGCAAAATCGAACAGAAAATTTTATATATATATATAGTATATATATTTATAAAAAAAAACAACAGAAAGTGAGTTAAAACATTGTCAGTTGTCTAGAGGCTTTCATCCGTCTGAAGGGACTTCTCAAGACTCTGACGTTGTTGGTAACGTTATATAGATTTATAAACTTTTTTTGGTTTTCGTAATTAGTACGGATGAGTTGCTAGTAATTTGTATTAAAATGTACAGATATACAGACAATTTTGTCTTTCATTTAATATAAATAATTCAACTTTAATAATTATTAAATAACTAAGAAAACATTTTAATTCAATTGCATGTATGCATATACTTTTATCGTTTGATCCGTTGAGTTGTGTAGAATATAATACATATATATGACAGCAATAAGATCCTATTCCGCCATATGAAAAAAAAAACTGTGACTGTCGTTTCTGGGAAATCGATCCTGTTTGCTGCTGAATGCACCGCAGTCACGTGATCCAGGGGATCAATACGCTTCCATGTTATAAAGTGCATTGTAACGATGTGAAGACGGCTGATCGATTGGGGAAGTGTGAGGGGGCACCAACAGGGCGTGATAAGAAAACACGCTCATTTTGATAGGGAGAAAAATTTGCAACATATACTCCTATAGATTAGTCTCTTAAAATAAAAATGATTATCAGCGTTCTGGCCGGCTGCAAGTTTGACTGTAAAAAGTTTTATTGGCTTTTAATCAGCTGATTATTATGAATTTAGTCATTCGTTTATTTCATATTTTTTATTGATGATAAAAGAGAAGAATCGATAAGTTTTTCCCAATAAATTCGTATCAAGCAAGTTATGGATAAAAATTATTTACAACATGTTTTTAAAATGTAATAAAGACTTTAAATATTTGAACACACACCTTTATCAGAATATAAAACTATTTAAGAAAAATTAAAAAAAGAAAGAAAAAAAAAATTAAAACAACACATATTTTGTAAGATATTTCTCCAATCCTAATTTTCTAATGTAAAACAAATTTGAATTCAGATATTTACATTCGCGTTTATCCTATTGTTATCAAGACGCTATGGAACACATAGCATTATTATAATTTATGAACTACATAGAGTTATTCTCATTTTCTAAGACCAAAATGAGCATGACTCGCTATGGCGGCTAAAATGGATCAATTTTAAGGTCAGTTTTCATTAATTTGACAAAACATTGGGAAAACATGGATCAGTTGATAAAGGATTTTAATGAAAGGCATGATAATTGTGTATTCATTATCTGTATCGACTGAGAAAATCAGTAATACTAGTGAATCTAATAGTTATGGCCGCCTTGCGCACTCGATACAGACGATCTAGAAGAAAATGTCAGTCGTTTTAATATACAGACGTTTGTGTTCGCCATCTTGGCTAAAGTATGATGATGATTATTTTCAATTCATTCGTATCTCAAGAATTAATGGAGTTAGTTAACATGGAATTAAGATATGAAAAATCAGGATTTTCTGTAGAAGTCTTTGATTTTTATCTGAGTCTAATGGAGATTGCTACTGAATTGATTGGTTTGTGAATAGAAGGCATAAGTGTATGAATGTCCGCGTAATATGTTTATTATTTAAGCCGAATTCTCGGCATTTTAAAGAAGCCTACAAAATAAGCACACAATTTGTTTGTGTCAAAATGAATGTTTATTGTTTTTATCATGTGCTATATATTGGTGTCGCCGCCATGGAGTTAATATTATGCATTTTACCTCGAACTACACATGGGAGCATGGAAATATCACAGGCTTCTCAAATGAGATATTACAGCTTCCAAACTATAAAGGAGAGACTCAATTCACCCTCAACACCTCGAGACCTCACTGACAAACACACACAAACTATTAAAGACATGGAACTAGAGTCAAAAAAGACTTCAGTAGCACTAGAATTCATTGAAGAGTTAAAAGATAAAAGTGAACTTCGTAGACAACGCTGTGATATTTCAAAAACTGGAGTAACTTTAAAGGATTTTGACCTCAAATTTTCCAAGTCAAACTTCCAATCAGTATTTGGGCCTTCCGCCAAGAAAGCCGTTTCAATTGCCAACACTTTAACAAGTTTATTTTTTAACCACAAAGATCTTGATATAAAACATTTAAACGCCACTCAGATGCCAACAGTGTTTGCTCTTCTTAAATACAATGTTGAGAATGACTATTACATTGCTGCTGGGGGTATAGCGTTCAACCACGGTTTCTTTCCTTATCTTGCCAAAGCAGCCAACGGAAAAACACAAAATTTAACCGAAATAAAAACCAATTTTTCTGAATGGAATTTTTACTCTGTCCTTGAAAACCGGAACTATTCGATTCACTGGAATTCTAACTTTCACAATTCACAAACCGGAAGTAATGTGACCAAATACCAAAGTGAACGAAATGGCCATTGGACTGGACCCTACTTTGACTGCAGAAAATTACAGCGCTGGGTGTTGACTTTTTCAGTTCCTTTCTTCTATCTACGAAACAACAAACCAACCTTTAGGTAAGATGGTCATGTTGTATTATGTGTGCAATGTTTATACGTCAAGTGATCACAAGTACCTTCTTTGGGCTCGGCTTTATGGGACATAATTAGTTGTTTTGAGGAGGGGGATGTTAGAAATGAATTGTTCTCTGACATGGGGTTAGGATTTGATAGAGAGGTTTTAAAATGAATATCTTCCCTGGCCTGGTAAGACAAAAATCATCTACCCCCCCCCCCCTCAACCCCCCAACCCCAAACCCCCAACCTCCTTTTTGAAAAACTAGTGTAAGGGAGATATGGTCTTTTTTTTAATGCATATAAAGACTGGTCCTAAAAATGACGTTCTTGGAAAAATAGATTTGTATAGAACTAACTTTTTACAAGTATCATTGGTAGGTTAGACTAAGGCATGTAAGGGAACCACACAAACCTACAATTGATACTCGTAAGAGGGTGTGGATGGGGTTTACAGAATGGAGAATAATGGGCAAAAAATATAAAAAATAAAGAATAGAGAATAATCATGATGATGGGCAAAAAGTATAAAGAATAAAGAAAAATAGTCTAGAATACAGAAATGAAGTACCCCATCCAGACCCTCTTGTGACCAGTGTGTTTTCAGTTAAGTTTATAACTGACGTAAGTCATCATGTAGAAATTTTGTTTCAAATTTTTAACGTTTAAAGTTGAATCTTAACGTAGTATACTTCCATTTCTTGTATCATAAGTAGTCTGATTCCCTTTCATGCCTATTTGTTTGTTCTTATTCAGATGCGGATCCAGGATTTTGAAAAGGGATGGGGTTCATCTAGCTAGCCAACGTTAGGAGTGATACTTGTAAAAAGTCTAAGCATTTATCATATTCATGATATATGAAGTTCCATAAGGAAACCCTTCGCCTCCCCCCTAAATTTCGCCATTGCACTTTGGGAGACTGAAGTTTGAAACTCTTAAAATTTATATAACTATAATTGGTACCTTTCGTACTGCTTTATAAATCTCTTAGTACAACTAGTATACAATCTGATTAACATTAAAACTCGTAGAAGTTATTAATTTAATAATGATAAGATTGTTTAGTACCATTGTCATGGTTGTTAATTGAAGTAAATTAACATGGTCTTGATTATTTTCAAACTGTCAACTTTAACTTTTTCGGTCCCCTTTCCCTGTCATCCCCTCTCTTAAGTACGCGGTCTTATCTTTTCAAACATTTACATCCCTGATGTATGTCTAAAAGAGAACTATGTGCAAACAAGGAAGACTGAAATGTGTTGTTGTGTTTTATGTTGTTTGTCAATGCCTTTTTTTTATTTACACGTATCAGTAAATCAATTTTGTTTTAGATAATAAACTGCATATATTTGCATTTGAATTATATGTCACCGTATGTATCGTAAATATATGCGCGGTGAAAAAAAAACCGGGCTCTAATTGTCTTGTCACTGAAAAAAATACCTATAAACATGGCCATACATGTACTTTAATGTCAATTTTTTTCAGAGACAAGTGCCTGTGTGTAGAAAAGATGTTTTAAATTATTTTAAAGGTAGTTCCAACTTTTGCTTGAAAATAGTTAACACCAGGATAACCAAGCATTTTTGAGTTTTGAGGTATAAGAGGGGGGGGGGATTATAACTGCTTTATTATCAGAATATATAATAACCAAAATATAAAAAAAAGTGCAAGAACACTGCCTTGCAAACAATTTTACCTATACAGATTCTGTAAATCATTTGATGTTTAAACCTTCCACAACTTTCCACTGACGATAACCTGCCCCTTTCTTACACATTTAAAAGATGAAAAAAGGCGCGGGAGTATGGATGAGGTAAAGAATATTTGCTTCATTGTTTTATTACCAAAATCTAAAACACTCAAGTCAAAGAACATTGACTTGCCAAAAGTCTTACCAATAGAGATTCGTTTGTTAAAACATTCCACTACTGATTTCAAAATTTAGTCCTTTAAACCCCCCTTTTGTGAAACTAGTGAAGATGATAAAATCATTACCTTCATCAAAGATTATAGAAGGGCATCACTATGTCTAACCCTTCATGTTAACATTTTGCGTTTTTCGTTTAACTAAGTAAATATTATTGATTAGGGGCCAGCTGAAGCCCGCTTCAGGATGAGGGATTTTCTCGCTGTGTTGAAGACCCATTGGTGGCCTTGGGCTGTATTCTGCTCTTTGGTCGGGTTGTTGTCTCTTTGCCACATTCACCGTTTCCATTCTCAATTTTACTATGTTTTTTTTTGTGATACCAAACCTGGTCACATGTAAATAATTGTTTCAAGAATTCAAAACCGCGAAGGCTTTTTATTTGACGTTTTGTTTGTATAACTGCACCAGGTTACATTGTATGTGTAAAGGTCATAGCGATACGGGTTCAATTGTCAAAAACAGCTGATGCCTACTCATCAGTCTAATTTGATAAAAGAATATACAGTTAAAGATAAATAATACCTTTTTTGTGATACCCAACCTGGTAAGATGTAAGAAGTTTTGTTTCTAGAATTCAAAACCGCGAAGGATTTTCTTTGACGTTTTGGTTGGCACACCAAGCCTAAAAGGGATAACGATACTAGTACAATTGTAAATTATTGCTATTAACTTAGTACTCATCTGTCTATATAATTTGAGTGATTAATTGTTGGTGTTTTAACCCCACATTCAGCATTCTTGGCTATATCGTGGCGGTCAGTTTTTGTCGAGCCTGCGACTTTTGTCGCAAAAGCGAGACATAGCGATCCTACATTCCGTTGTCGTCGTCGTCGGCAAATATTCACTCTGTGGTTAAAGTTTTTCAAATCTTAATAACTTTCTTAAACTATCCTGGATTTGTACCATACTTGGACAGACTGAAGATTGTTTATGATCATAAGATAGTATTCAAAAGTAAATTTTGTTAAAAAAAAAAATCCTGTTTATCCGTATTTTACTTATAAAAGGACTTAGTTTTTCTGCCAGTTAACATTACATTCACTCTGGTTAAAGTTTTCAAAATTTTAATAACTTTCTTAAACTATCCTGGATTTGTACCAAACTTGGACAGAAGCTTGTTTATGATCAAAAGCTAGTATCAAGACATGCTAGAAGGAAATTTTGTAAAAAAAATAATTCCTGTTTTTCCGTATATTACTTATAAATGGACTTAGTTTTTCTTCCAGTTAACATGGTTAACATTAAATAAAGTCATACAGTCTGCAGTTAAAGTTTTTAAAACATTTATTAGATTCATAAACCATCCTGGATTCTTACCAAACTTGAACAGAAGCTTCTTACAATCAAAAGATAGTATCTAGAGGAAAATTTTTAATAATTATTTCCCCATTTTTGTTGAGCCTGCGACTAACAGCAAAAGTAGGCGAGACACTGGGTTCCGCGGAACCCTTACGAATTTTTTTTAATGGTGTAACCATTTCTATACTCCGTAGAGAACCATAGTCTAATTTGACACATACAAATTGGTTATTATGATAGATTTATGAAAAAAAAACCTTTTGTTCTTTTCGATATTTTGTTAATATTTTTAATATATGTTCAAATATATGTAACATATGTAACATTACTATTTGACCATAAAATTATACCAGTAAATCATAAATATTGTGGTTTGCTATCAGGTGAAAACCCATTCAATTTTCCATGCAACATATTGTAGAGCTATAGGATTATTTGTATTTATGATAAACATTCTACTCTAACATAATGCATACAATAAAGGATATTGACTTAATTCACAATTCAATTCCTTTATCATAGTGATGATGTCATAAAACTTAAATCTGATCCATAGTTTGGAGCGAGGTTATATATGTATTAGGCGCGGATCCAGCCATTTTGAAAAGGGGGGTTTCAACCCCAGGAACACCATGAAAAGTTCACATTATAATAAAAAAAAAATCGAAAAAGGGGGTTCCAACCCCCGGAACATCCACAATGTATGAATTGCACGAGTTTAATCATAATGATTTCTTCAATAAATACAGTTTTTCTATTTGGTTTCCTAAATCAATTTTGAACATGTTGAAAAAGACCAACAAGACTAAAACGGAAATCTTGTTTCGTCATTACTGTATAGCATTTATAGGAAACATGCATTTTTATGACTGAAGTTATTCTCTATAACATGTTTGTTTGTTTGCTTGTTTGTTTGTTTGTTCAATTTTATCATTCATTTGCCTAGTTTATTTTTTGGTCATCGTTTAACAATTCCACGGGTCTGAGAAGTCAAAACTACTGAACACTATCTCCATGACTTCTTCTGCATCATGCCCATCACTATTATGAGGATCTGGATTACAGAATAGAGAATAATGGACCAAATCTATATACAAAAATATGGGCCAAAACAAATTAAGAATAGGAAAAAATAAGCCAAAGAATAGAGAATAATGGGGCCCCGAAGTATATAAATATCAGAGAATAATAAGCAAAACATATAAGGAATAGAGAAAAATGACCTAAAAAATAAAGAATACAGATATGAATTACATCCCATCCAGACCTACTTCTATCTATCGTTGTGTAAAATATGTTCTTTAGACTCATTTCGAGGGACATGAGGGAAAGTTTATTTACCTCTTTCATAATGAGACAAACCACGAACGGTGAACTGCAATCATTTATCAGAATATACAAATCAAAACACTTTATAGTCTAACAGAAATTGATTCTAGGATTCTGCTTTGGTTACCAGTCACGATACCAGTTTTGATATTGATCCAAATATTGGACATGTACACAAGTCACATGATTTTTACTGTCTTGGAATCGAACTTGCATTAAAACACATTTTTTTCTCTGCATAACAATGTTAAATGTAATCAATATATACATGAACATGGTGAATGCTGGTTTTAATGAAGTTTTTGTTATTATAGATTAAAAAATTATTCTTTCCAACCAAGGTCACTAAGGGGGATCCTTTAAGAAGATAGACAGCATGGTACGGTAATAATGCAGACAGTAGTTTTAAATGCTGATTGATCGAAGTAAAACTTCATAAAACTCC